TTGTTGCAGGGAAAAAAACCTCTTCCATTCTCAGTGTGTTTGATCTTCTCTTCCTGTGCCCTCTTTTTTTTTTTTTTTTTTAAATTTTTAAAATTTATTTGGCTGTGCTGGGTTGCTGGGTCTTAGTTGCGGCATGTGGGATCTAGTTCTCTGACCAGGGCTCGAGACTGGGCCACCTGCATTGGGAGCATGGACTCTTAGCCATTGGACCACCAGGGAAGTCCCTTCCTCTGCCCTCTTAAGCCTGGGCTTCAGGCTCCTCCTGTGGTCTCCTGGAGGACCTAGAGCTTCCTCCTTTGGGAGCTTATTCCTCAGAGTGGTAATTGTCTGCTTAGTCCTCTAGCCATCTCTGAGATTTTTGTCAGCAGGAAAATACACTTCAGCTTGGCTGTCTCCATGGCAGGATATAGTGAGTGCCAAATCCCTAGAAAGGTGCAATCAATGAACAAGTCAGATTAAGGAAGCAACATGGTCACTGCGGTAATCATTGCCTTTGACCAAACTGTCTCACTTATGGTAGCAGTATCTCTGATAGAAACCGTGTAAATTGTAACTTTGCAGTTGGTAAAACTAAAGAAATAACCACTGAACCACGAACTCAGTCCTAGATGGTTTTCTACACTATCATAAATGAGTTCTGCATGCTAATGGCACTTTCTATTTTACTTTTCATAAGCAGTTTCTCCCTTGTTTGATAGTTGGAACACAAGCTGGCTGGGCCTGTTTCCCTATAGTAACAACATGTTCCACTCGCCCACTGCGCCACGCCCCACTGTGGATTATCATAGGTAACTTTCACAACACCTCAATGAAATAGGTGATATGTAGGTGCTGGAGAAATTGAAGCTTAAGGAGGTTAAGTAACGTGCCCAAGTGCACACACGTAGCAGGTGAAGAGCTGTGGCTCAAAACCAGTCAGGCAGGCTGTGGAGCCTTCACCATTTCCCAATGCTGCCTTCTTTTATTCTGCTCAAGGAATTTGTCACCATGGGAAAATTTTTGTTTCTGTATTAGAATGCTTAGTCCATGATTACAGAGACACTGTATCCTCAAGTTACTTGGAGTGTAATAGGTGTTCAGTAAGTATGGAATTAATGATGAAAGGTCCATATAGTCAAAGCTGTGGTTTTTCTAGTAGTCATATATGGATGTGAGAGTGAACCGTAGAAAAGGCTGAGTGCCAAAGAATTGATGCCCTTGAACTGTGGTGCTGGAGAAGACTTTTAAGAGTGAAAGCTCTATAGCTCAGATGGTAAAGAATCTGCCTGCCATGCAGGAGACCCGGGTTCGATCCCTGGGTGAGGAAGATCCCTTGGAGAAGGGAATGGCAACCCACCCCAGTACTCTTGCCTGGAGAATCCCATGGACAGAGGAATCTGGTGAGCTACAGTCTGTGGGGTCAAAAAGAGTCAGACATGACTGAGTGACTAACAGTACTACTACTGGAAAGCAAGCAGTTCAAACCAGTCAATTCCAAAGGAAATCAACCTCGAATATTCACTGGAAGGACTCATGCTGAAGCTGAAGTTCCAATACTTTGTCCACCTGATGCAAACAGCCAGCTCATTGGGAAAAGACCCTGATGCTGGGAAAGACAAGGCAAAAGGAGAACAGGGCAGCAGAAGGTGAGATGGTTGGATGGCATCACCAACTCAGTGGTCATGAGTTTTAGCAAACTCAGGGAGATGGTGATGGACAGGGAAGCCTGGCGTGCTGCAATCCATGGGGTCGCAAAGAGTAGGACATGATGGAGCAACTGAACAGCAACAAGGGAAAATTTCATGCAAAGATAGGCCCAATAAAGGACAGAAACGGTAAGGACCTAATGGAAGCAGAAGAGATTAAGAAGAGATGGTAAAAATGCACAGAAGAACTATACAAAAAAGGTCTTAATGATCTGGATAACCACAATGGTGTGGTCATTCACCCAGAGCCAGACATCCTGAAGTGTGAAGTCAAGTGGGATTTAGGAATCATTACTATAAACAAAGCTAGTGGAGATGATGAAATTCCAGCTGAGCTATTTCAAATCCTAAAAGATGATGCTGTTAAAGTGCTGCCCTCAGTATACCAGCAAATTTGGAAAACTCAACAGTAGCCACAGGATGGGAAAAGGTCAGTTTTCATTCCAATTCCAAAGAAGGGAAATGCCAAGGAATGTTCAAACTACTGTACAATTGTGCTCATTTCACATGCTAGCAAGGTAATGCTCAAAATCCTTCAAGCTAGTCTTCAAATGTATGTGAGCCAAGAAATTCCAGATGTACAAACTGAATTTAGAAAAGGCAGAGGAACCAAAGACCAAATTGCCAACATCCATTGGATCATAGAAAAAGCAAGAGACTTTCAGAAAAACATCTGCTCCATTGACTATGCTAAAGCCTTTGACTGTGTGGATCACACAAACTGTGGGAAATTCTCCAAGAGATGAAAATACCAGACCACTTTATCTGCCTCCTCAGAAACCTGTATGCAGGTTAATAATAAACATTTAGAACCAGACATAGAACAACAGACTGGTTCCAAAGTGGGAAAGGAGTACATCAAGGCTGTATATTGTCACCCTGCTTATTTAACTTCTGTGCAGAGTACAAAATACCAGGCTGGATAAATCACAAGCTGGAATCAAGATTGTTGGGAGAAATATCAACAACCTCAGATAATGCATATGATACTACCCTAATAACAGAAAGTAAAGAAGAACCAAAGATCCTCTTAATAAGGGTGAAGGAGGAGCATGAAAAAGCTGACTTAACCCTTACATGACATACATTGAAGAAGAAAGCCACCCCCCCCCAAAAAAAAAAGCTGGCTTAAAACTCAACATTCAAAAAACTAAGATCATGACATCCAGTCCCATCACTTCATGGCAAATAGATGGAGAAAAAGTGGAAACAGTGACTGATCTTATTTTCTTGGGCTCCAAAATCACTGCAGATGATGAGTGCAGCCATGAAATTAAAGGACACTTACTTCTTGGACGAAAAGCTATGACAAACCTAGATACTGTATTAAAAAGCAGAGACATCACTTTGCCAACAAAGTTCTGTCTAGTCAAAGCTATGGTTTTTCCAGTATTCATATACAGATGTGAGAGTTGGACCATAAAGAAGGCGAGTGCCGAAGAACTGATGCTTTTGAATTGTGGTGCTAGAGAAGACTCCTGAGAGTCCCTTGGACAGCAAGGAGATCAAACCAGTCAATCCTAAGGGAAACCAGTCCTGAATATTCACTGGAAGGACTGATGCTGAAGCTAAATCTCCCATAGTTTGGTCACCTAATGCAAAGAACTAGCTCACTGGAAAAGACCCTGATGCTGGGAAAGATTGAGGGCAGGAGGAAAAGGGAGCAACAGGGAATGAGATGGTTGGATGGCATCACCGATTCAGTGGACATAAATTTGAGCAAACTCCAGGAGACAGTGAAGGACAGGGAAGCCTGGCTTGCTGCAGTCCATGGGGTAACAAAGAGTTAGACATGACTGAGCAACTGAACAACAGCTGCCAGAGTGTGAAGTAAAAGTTAAGAGTTAACCATTTCTTTTATTTCAGTTTCTTATATATTCAAATTCTTTCATTTTATGAGTATTCATTTTAGGAAATGATCTATTGAAAAAGAAAACTCCCCAAACTGCTTAAAAAGATGCCTTCAAAAAAATCCTTAGCTTTGAACATATCACTGCTTTAAATATCTATTCACACATGTAGGGGTTTTGACCATACACTAAACCAAACTTCTATGCAGAGCTTTAGATGGTACTATCTCATATCCTTGCAGGAAAGAGAGAGACTTATTATTCTACCTCTTGAATATCCACTTTGTCATCCCTTCAAGGTGCCTAAAGCAAAACTAAACAACACAACCCCCACCAGCCCCCTTGCTGTGGAGGAAGAGGCTCCAACCCGTCTTCAGAACGTGTTATCATCTCCCTGATCTGAGAAGACTGGGGATCTTCCGCACTTCTTTCTCCCACTGTCTGTGTGTGCGCATGCTCGGTCGTTCAGTTGTGTCCGACTCTGCAACCCCGTGGACTGTAGCCCGCCAGGTCCCTCTGTCCATGTGATTATCCTGGCAAGAATACTGGAGTGTGTTGTCATTTCCTTCCCCAGGTTTTGTTCGCAACTCAGGAATCGAACCCGTGTCTCCTGCATTGCACGCAGATTCTTTACCACTGAGCCGCTGAGGAAGCCCCTCCCACTGTCTGGTAATTGCAGATTGGACTGACTGAGACAGCCGAGTCCTGCCCAGAACCTCAGAGGGTCCCAAGCCCCAGCAGCTGCCAGAGAGGTTCTGACACTGGAAGCCGGAGCCCTAGCATCCCTTATTTCCTGTTTGTCTTTTGGAACCCTCACCTGTTCCCTTTTCCTTACCTGCTTTCTGAACATATTTATGTCTCCTCACTTAGGAATTCAGTAGGAAAATCTAGTTACTGCTGGAGGAGTGTGATGTTGGTTTCAAATTCCACCCCCTTCCCCCAGACGTTTGGGCTTTCCTGATAGCTCATTTGGTAAAGAATCCACCTGCAATGCGGGAGACCTGGGTTCAATCCCTGGGTTGGGAAGATCACCTGGAGAAGGGATAGGCTACCCACTCCAATATTCTGGCCTAGGAAATTCCATGGACTGTATAGCCCATGGGGTCACAAAGAGTTGGACACAACTGAGCAACTTTCACTTTCTCAGTTATCAATGCCAAATTTCATCAGTACCACATATATAATTAATCTACTTTCTAAAAAAGCATAGCATGTAACATTTTAAGGAAACACTCATAATTGAAATAAGTACATAGGTAGAAAAATTTTCCTCCACCTTGTTCTTTATCTGCACCCTTGTATGTCTCCCCCTCTGGAAGAGGCTGTCGCAAACCAGAGTTTGGTACTTCACTCTTTCACTTTGGAGAAGAGTTCATATTCTATTTATTTCATTTCGTATAGTCCCTCCCTTCCAGAATTGTTTTTGAAATGTTAATTGCCTTTTCATTGTTATCTTTATTTTCAGATTATATTCAGTGTCCATATTGTAAGAGGAGATTTAATGAAACCGCAGCCAGTCGACATATTAATTTCTGCAAGGATCAAGAGTCTCGCCGAGTCTTTGATCCAGCCCAGACAGCAGCCAGATTGGCATCCAGAGCACAGGTAAGTCTCTCACCCCAGGTGTTGGCTCCTGTGCCCTTGTCTGCCTGGGGAAAGCAGGTAGAATTTGCAAGGGAACCTAAATCACCTGTCCTGAGAACTGTTAGGATCAGGACAGCCAATCTTCATGGGACTTGGCTACTTTTGAGCAATACTTTCCAGCTAAACAGCACCGTTGGATGTTGTAGAAAAATTTCTCTACAGGGTCTGAAGGTTCTTAGGTTGAAGACTTAGCTATCTAAGTATTGTTTCTGTGGTGTTATGGTGAGACTGTAACCAGTGGTGATTGTCATCAGCTTTAACCACCCCCAATAGTGTGTAGAACCTGAAGTGAGACTGGCTTAAGTGGAGGAAACTGTCACACGGAACCTGTTCTACAGGTTTGTGTTTGCTCTGTGGAGAAGGGTCTTCAGCCTGTTCAAAGCCCCAGAATCATCAATGTAAAGTAAATAAATAAAACAGCCATTGTAAATTGGAAAAGACCCTGATGCTGGGAAAGATTGAAGGCAGGAGGAGAAGGGGACCACAGAGGATGAGATGATTGGATGGCATCACTGACGCGATGGATGTGAGTTTGAGTAGGCTCCGGGAGTTGGTGATGGACAGGGAAGCCTGGTGTGCTGCAGTCCATGGGGTCGCAGAGAGTTGGACATGACTGAGCAACTGAACTGAACTGAACTGAACAAATAAGTAAAATGACAGCTGGACCAAGAAGACAATAGATTTATAAAAACAACCGGAAACAGCCATCAGCTCCATACACATCAAAGGTACTGGAGACATAGCTTACAGTATACTGTGAAAACTGTTAGTTTCATGTACATGTCTTAGATACCAAGAAAAGATTGTTAAATTGTTCAGGCACTAAGTCATGTCTGACTCTTTGCAACTTCCATGGACTGTAGCACGCCAGGCTTTCACTGTCTCCCAAAGTTTGCTCAAACTTATGTCCATTGAGTCAGTGATGCAGTTTAACTGTCTCATCCTCTGTTGTCCCCTTCTTCTTCTGCCCTCAATCTTTCCCTGCATCAGGGTCTTTTCCAACGAGTCAGCTCTTCACATCAGGTGGCCAAAGTATTGGAGCTTCAGCATCAGTCCTTCCAATGAATATTCAGGTTTGACTTCCTTTAGGATTGACTGGTTTGATCTCCTTGCAGTCCAAGGGACTCTCAGGAGTCTTCTCCAGCACCACAATTTGAAAGCATCAATTCTTCGGCACTCAGCCTTCTTTATGGTCCAGCTCTCACATCCGTATATGACTACTGGAAAAGCCATAGCTTTGACTATACAGACCTTTGTTGGCAAAGTGATATCTCTGCTTTTTAATACACTGTCTAGGTGTGTCATAGCTTTTCTTCCAAGGAGCAAGTGTCTTTTAATTTCCAAAGAATAGCAAGGAGAGATAAGAAAGCCTTCTTAAATGGCTGCTATCAAAAAGTGTACAAACAATAAATGCTGAAGAGAGCGCGGAGAAAAGGGAACCCTCTTACACTGTTGGTGGGAATGCAGACTAGTACAGCCTCTATGGAGAACAGTGTGGAGATTCCTTAAAAAACTGGAAATAGAGCTGCCATATGACCCAGCAATCCCACTGCTGGGCATACACACCAAGGAAACCAGATCTGAAAGAGACACGTGCACCCCAATGTTCATCGCAGCACTGTTTACAATAGCCAGGACATGGAAGCAACCTAGATGTCCATTGGCAGATAAATGGATAAGAAAGCTGTGGTACATATACACAATGGAATATTACTCAGATATTAAAAAGAATGCATTTGAATCAGTTCTAATGAGGTGAGTGAAACTGGAGCCTATTATACAGAGTGAAGTAAGTCAGAAGGAAAAACACCATAGTGCATATATATGGAATTTAGAAATATGTTAACGTTGACCCTATATGCGAGACAGTAAAAGAGACACAGATGTGAAGAACAGACTTTTGGACTCTGTGGGAGAAGCCGAGGGTGGGATGATTTGAGAGAATAGCATTGAAACATATATTATCATATGTGAAATAGACCACCAGTCCAGGTTCGATGCATGAGACAGGGTACTCGGGGCTGGTGCACTGGGATGACCCAGAGGGATGGGATGGGGAGGGAGGTGGGAGGGGGTTTCAGGATGGGGAACACATGTACACCCATGGCTGATTCATGTCAATGTATGGCAAAAACCATTACAATATTATAAAGTAATTAGCCTCCAATTAAAATAAATTAATTTTTTAAAAAAGAAAGGCTTCTTAAGTGAACAGTGCATTGAAGCAGAGGAAAACAATAGAATAGGAAAGACTAGAGATCTCTTCAAGACAATTAGAGATACCAAAGAAAAGATTAAGTGGGTCTGACTGAATACTTAACAGTAGAAGCATGTTTAGAAAGATTTCCATGATATCCAACATGTCATAGGAATGGGACCCTCTCTAACAATAGCACACCCTACAGACTATGGATTCTGACCTCCGCATATACTAGACAGTTACTGAGTATCTATGCTGTACCTGCTGCTGCATCAGGTACTGGTTGATCAAGGATTTATGATCCAGAGGCAGCAGCACCCTTGGAAGCAATGCAGTAGGAAAGTGTAGTGGTTGACATATACAGGAGCATGGTGGAGTCAGAGGCCACTTGTGATTCATGGGAAGCTTCAAGGAGGAGCAAATACTTTCCCCACAATATCAGAGGAGTTGACCGGTCTAGATTTGGACTTGGAAAGGACATTATGCACTAAATGTCCAGCCCATGACCTGAGGGGCCCACCGTGTACAGCTGAAGGACAGAGAGCCTGTGGGCGAGTGACGGGGTGGGACAGGCCAGGTGAGCATCGGAGTCAGGAGGGCTTCAACCCACGTGGGCTCAGAGAGGAGGAGAAGGGGTTAAGTGGATAGATGCCTTCAATCTGAGGCCGACCAACTTGAGGGCCTGAAGCAGGAATTGAAAGTCTCCAGGAACCCCAGAAGTCCTGTCCATCTTTCCTTCTTGTCTCTTCTTCCTCCTCCGCTGCTGCTTCAGCTTCTCTCTGCAAAACTCGGCCTTTCTGTGCAATTGCCCCTCACTGGCCTCACACATCATTCTTTATGCAACGTCGACTGGTTGCATAATGCCGACTAGAGTAACATGGAATTGGTTTCTTAGATCACCCTGGCAGTTAGTGTTCAAGATGGACTGGTGAGAGACCAGTTAGAGCCACGCCAACCGAAAAAGGAAATGAGGGCCCAGAGTCAGGACTAATGCGGGGGTGTGGGGGGGCGGAGGGTGTGGATTTAAGAGAGAATTGTTGGAACTGAGAAGCTGATTGGAATATAAGGTAAAAGAGTATCAGGGTTGGCAAAGAGGTGTTTAACTCCAGAGCAGATAACACCACACATCTAGATGAAAGAACACAGAATGCAGAGGTGGGGAGGTAGTCACTTTGGTGGGGCAGGCAAGGAGCCTATGGTAACTATAGTTGTAGAGATTCAATCTTTACGCCTGAAATAGCATGGGAATCAGTGCAGTGTCGGAAGAACTTGGATTCTACAATCAGCAGTCAGGGTCTGACCTTCAGTTTGATGATATAGTATCTGTAGGTTAGTTTGGACAAGTTCCTTGAATTCTTTGAGACTCACTTTAGCCTGTGTCTGGCTGAGCTTGTTAGGAGGGTCACAAGTAACAGCAGCAACACACAGGCCCCCTGCCTTTACCCTCAACACTGCCCCCGACCCCCTTCCCCTCTCGTGACAGTCCTCTCCTTGAGTGCAGCAGGCACCACAATCTGGGGGGAAACATGACTGCTTTGGACTTGTGAGAGTGAAAATGTTAGCCGCTGAGTCGTGTCCGACTCTTTGCGACCCCATGGATGACAGCCCACCAGGCTCCTCTGTCCATGGGATTCTCCAGGCAAGAATACTGGAGTGAGTTGCCATGCCCTTCTCCAAGGGATCTTCTCAACCCAGGGACTGAACCCGGGTCCCCCGCGCTGCAGGCAGATTCTTTACCATCTGGGCCACCTGAATTCAGCTTAATTTGGGGAGGGGGGAAGAAACGTACAACTCTACCTAGACTTTCTAAAGAAGTAAAGGGTGCATTATGTTTCTTCGAATGCTTCTTCTAAGCAGTCCACGAAGTAAGTCGGTGTTCATGGGGCCAAGGGGAGCAGAGGGGGAAGCAGCGGGCGGAAGTGCTTTTTATTCCTGAAGAAGGCCAGCTGGCTGTCCTGAGCGTAACCAGCAACTTGGCCTGGTTCCTCTCCTTGTCTTCCAGAGCGAAGTGGTGATTGGGAACACAGAAGAAAAATTGCTTGCTTTCTGAGTTGCTTGCTTTCTGAGTAAACTCGCTGTCGAGTGTATCTGAACAGCAGTGCTGTTTCCCCCATGCCAGCTTCACCACTCTGGGGCCCTGCCTCATAGTGGAGCTTATTCAGAGGGAGAACAAAAAGGGAGGTGTTGTCTCCATGTGGAAGGGCTGTTAACAGCACAGCTGAAATGTGTTTCTATTTTAAACATAATCAGCTCTAAAAAATGTGTTATACCCTTCACCAAAAGAGACCAGGATGGGTTCTCTGAAAATAGCTTGCTTTGTTTGCCTGGGGATGAGCTGCATGCCATCGCCTCGCAGCAGGCCCTGCCCAAGTGAGGATTCTCACTTCGAGGAACAGGTTATCTTTGTACCCGAGTTGCCATGGAAATGTGGAGGGATCTGTGGCAAGGTAAAAGGGAGGGCACAAAGGAACTCCCGAGGAACCTTTCGGTCCTTCTTCCCTGTTAACACGACTCATCTGCTACCGCCACTCAGGAGGGTGGGGAGTGCGTGGGGATGTTGGAATTCCATGTTTAAAACATTTGGTGCCTGCCAGTGTCTGTTTTTCTTCTCTGTGCATGTATTTAAACACAAAATCATCTTCAAGTGTAATGAAAAGCCCAAATGTTCCGTAACTATCCTTATTGACATTAAGTGATTTCTTATGTCTCCACACAACTGATCGAACAGGATTAACACATCACCGTTCCCCCAAAGGGCTTGATGGTGGGACGAAAGCTCCCAAACCCAGACATGGTTTTGAACCCCGGCAGGAAGGACAGGAGCCAGGTTACTGAGGTGCAGCGTGTGTGGGTCCCTCTCCCCTGGGTGTCACAGGTCCCGCACATGACTGACCCTGCTGCTGATGCAGGGGAGGCCACATCGCCTCCTTGTATGCTTCCCGAGCTGACCGAGCTCTTCCCCTCTCCTCCCCACCCCCCCGCCTCCCCTCGGTCTCCCTCTCCAGGGTAGAGCTCAAATGAGTCCAAAAAAGGAACCGACTGTAACCAGTGCTGTGGGAGCTCTGCTACAGATCAGGGCCCTGGAGGCCAGTGCAGCGCCAACCCGGCCAGGTGAGTTGGAATGAGCATCTCAACTGTCGAATGATGGAGTCACAGGAGACCACTGTTGGCTTTGGGATTTGCTGGCGGTCAGCAAAAGCTATGACATCCAAAGTTGCTTTGGGATATAAAGATATGTGAGTTTGTTTGAGGTTTAGAGCTTATTTGGCAAGAAAGGATATTTCCTAATTTTCCAAGATTAGACAACTCTTGACAGTATACAAAATCAGATCTGATGACAATAGCCGGAGCTCGACCCGTTGTTCCCAGGTCTGGTAAAATTAAGAGATTCAGGGTGGGAGATGGCAGTGTGTCAGGCTTTGTGTTGAAAATAAGGGAAGAAAATGAAATTGTGGTCTCAGAGGGATATCTGTACTCCCATGTTCATTACAGCATGTTTCAAATAGCCAAGATACAGAAACACCCTTCATATTCATTGATGGATGAATGGATAAAGACGGGGTATATATACACAATGTAATATTATTCAGTAATAAAAAGAGAAGGAAATCCTTCCATTTTCAACTTCATGGATAAACCTTGAGGTGAAATAAGTCAGAAGGAGGACAAATACTGTATGATCTCGGTTATGTGCATGCTCAGTCGTGTCCGACTCTTTGCCATCCCATCGACTGTAGCCTACTATGTCCTCTGTGGAATTTTCCAGGCAAGAATACTGGAGTGGGTTGCCATTCCCTTCTCCAGGGCATCTTCCCAACCCAGGAATCAAACCTGAATCTCTTGGTCTCCTGCATTGGCAGATGGATTCTTTACCAGTGCACCACCTGGGAAGCCGTGTGTGAAACCTTAAAATGTTAAACTCATAAAAACAGAGAGTAGAATGATGGTTGTCAGGGGTGGAGGGTAGGGTGGGAGAAATGGGGAGATGTTGGTCAAAGGGTACAAACTTCCAGTAAGAAGATGAATGAGTTCGGGGAATCTAATGTTCAGCAGGGTGACTATAGTTAACAGTACTGTATTATCTACTTAAAAGTTGCTGAGAGAATAAATCTTAAATATTCTCGCCACAGACACACACACACACACAAAAGTAACTATGTAAGGTGATAAGTGTGTTAACCAATCTTACTGTGGTAATCATTTTGCAATACATACATGTGATAAATCATCACATTGTACACCCTAAACTTGTACATTATATTCAATTAGATCACAATAAGGCTGGAAAAAAAGAAAATGGGGAAGAATTTCCTTCCTAGGAGGAGATAATGTCTTCAAAGTAGGAAAAAGGAATGCCCACCATTTTAGTACTTGCTTTATGCTTGACCCATTTCTTTTAATCTTCACAATAATCCTTCAAATTTTTAACCTATGGAATTGGAACTGAGGCTCAGAGAGGGCGAGTTGTTTAAGACACACAACTGGTAAAACAGCAGAGCTGGATTAGATATCTCCTTTTTCTCTTCATTGAGCTGCATTGCTAGTAATGGACATTCTTCTTTATGGTCAGCATCACTATGAAGGCAATGAATGAAGTGAATGAAATCATGACCATATCGGCACCTCTGGTCAGGAGTCTTATTCTGAAGGTATTATCAGAACCAGAGTAAGAAGTGCCAGTCTGATAGTCCATAAGGTAACAGCACCAGAAATCTTTATCATTAGTTTTTAAATTCCTCCTGAGTTGCTTACATGGGTGAAAAATTGAATTGTTATTTTAAAAATTCATAGCCATCTAAACTCATAACCACTAGATGTTTTTTTTCCTTCACTTTCTGTAGGAATTTAACCATGAGGCAGGTTTTAGTTCTTACTAAGGAAAAAAGTAATTCAAATCATTTATGTATTCTTTTGGTAAAACTTCCACTAACAAACTTTTTTTTTTCTAAAGTGTAAAATGACTAGTGTCCTTGAGAAAAGACAATTTCTTTATATTATAGTTTATTATTTTTCAAAGAATATATTATAATGCTTCCCTTTCAGTGAAAAACATCCTTTTGAGTTTGTTTGTGAAGAGGGAGTATTTCTTAATTCATTGGGATTAGACAACTCTGACAGGGTGCCAAGTCAAATGCAAGTACAGCCTCGGAGTCTAGGATCTTTATTCCCTGGTTTAGTTAACCAGGAAAGAGACTGGGAATGAGGGAAGACAGGCCTAGTATTGAAAAGAGGAAAAGAGTTTCCTTCCTTGAACTCAGCAGTTAAAGCAGCAGCAAGGTACAAGTGGAAAGGTCCTGAATCAGGGCAGCAGTCCTGTGTCCCAGTATGTGGCGATGAGCAGGACGATATACAGACACTGTTCTGATACACCAGGAAATAGATGAGCAGGCCAGCAGATCTAAGCAAAATATATCATATTTGTTGTTAACTCGTCAACGGTGGTTTGTAATCACTGTGATGTTGTTAAGTAAAAGGCCGAATCCAGCGTAGTCCACACTAGGTTCTGTGCCACCAGCTGATCACACCATCCACTGTTTCCTTTCCATCCGGCTTGAGCAGGCTCTCTTGCTCCTGCTCACTCCTGGCTCAGGGACTTTGCACTGGCCGCCCTCTCTGCTGAAAACCAAAACACCCCTCAGTGATCTACCCTGCCGTCTCCCTCCTCCCCTCCCTCCAGCTCTTAGCAGAGTGTCTTCCCAGTGGGCCCCGCACCCACCCAACCTCTGTGTTTCAGAGTAATCAAGCCCACTATAATTCTCTTTGTAGTTTTCCAAAATAGCAGTTACCATCATCTAATATATTCAATACATATTTATTTTCTTCCTGTCCCACCCACTATGCCAGAAAAGGGGATATAAGCTTCAAGAAGGCAGGAATCTGTCTACTTGGTTTATTTTCTATTGTACTGCTCAGGTTTGATCCCTGGATTGGGAAGATTCCTTGGAGGAGGGCATGGTAACCCACTCCAGTATTCTTACCTGGAGAATCTCATGGACAGAGGAGCCTGGTGGTCTGCAGTCCATGGGGTCGCAAAGAGTTAGACACGGCTGAAGTGACTTAGCACACACGTATCTCTACTTAGAATTGTTCATGGCATTTATGAAATGCTCAGTAAATACTTTTTGAATGAAATATATTGGACAAAGTGGGTATCTTGAGTCTATAATTTCTCACTTAAATATGAATAGAATTGTAATGTTAATTAGCTTTAAGAGATAGCTTTTTAAAAAAATTTCTGGTTCAAGATGCTTTTTCAATTTAGTTTCTGTTCTTACCTGTGATCTCACCTGTTAACATTTAAAAATAAAATCACCAAGGTTAGTGTGCTTTTAAATTAGTCGCATTTCATTTGAAGCCATTCTGGAGAGAAAGCAGAAGTATATTGAGGGGAGGTGAATTTTCAAAACTGTTTAAGGCTTGGAGAAAAGCCTGAGTATTTTTACTAATGTGAATAGGCCCGTGTATGAATCAGATTCTCATCTACTGGCCATTGTTTTCGATCTGGTCAGTACTAATCTATGTGTAATAAGGGGATCTTTTTAAAAACTGTTGGTGGTGGTCTAGCTATCTTTAGATTGACAATCTGTTGTTTAGGCCACTTGATGTCACTTGGCTTCCACTTGCAATCCTATTATTGTCTTTCATCTAGCTGGTAGTTAGCCCTCTAAAACCCCAGCTTTCATTCTTTGACTCTCTTGAGTAAAACAAACGTTTAAAATTTCCCATTTATAACCTTTTGTTTTAAATTCACAGTGAGGGAAGACATGTGTTAGGCACAATCCGCAGTCAGTAATCATTGTATCTAATGTTTAACAGTGGGATATAAAAGTCTTAAGGGACTACAAGAAAGAGATCTATTTTTCCCAGGAGGTTTTACGGAGGAGGTAATGGTCAGAGAAAGTTTCATAGAGGTGGAGGCTTTGGGGATGAGCTAGATTTTGACCAATGGAGAAAAGTTGCGGCAGCAACAGAGATAGGAAAGTAAGAACACAACACACACTCTGGGGTGGGGGCGGGGGGAATGGTCCACTTGGCCAAAGCGTGGAGAAGACCTGGGGTTAAAGTTAGAATGGAAGGCTGGCACTAGAGCACGGAGGGCTGTAAGTGCTTAGCAGGTGTCCAGACTGTGTGTGATGAATGGCAATGCTGGTGTCACTGCCCTGGCGCATGTGTCTGTGGAAGTGAGGCTCTTACGATGACCTAGGGACTTTTTGGTTCTACAGATTTTAAGCTAGCCTGCCAGAATGTCTCTTGAGAAAGGGCATTTTTAAAAAAGTTGACATGGGAGAAATTAATGCTTACTGTAGAAGATCTTAGAAAATGGAGAGAAAGTATGAAGAAAATAAAAATCATCCATAATTCCACTCCCTGACATGTCTACTGTTAATATTGATACCTCCTCACTTTTTCTCATTATTCGCTGCCTCTTTTGTTTTCTTTTGATCTAAATTAGGATCACAGTCCATGCACACATCCTGATTTTTTTTCCCACAGACTGTCAACATTTCCCTATGGCAAAGAGTTTCTTTAAAAACATAATATCCTATGTTTTCAAAGATACAAATGATATCACAAAAAGACAATATAACTTGTCTATTTTCCTGATGTTGAATAGGTAGGTTGTCTCTGCTTTTTTGCTGTACCGAATATTTCCCTTCTTCATAGACAGTGAATTAAGCCCATGCTTAATTGTATGCTCTTCTAAGCTCTTCAAATATGAATCTTCATTAATCCTTATTTAATCCTCACAGTAACACAAAGGGGTAGACATACTATTCATAGCTCTAGTTTCCAGGTGAGAAAAGCAGAGAGGGGAAGCAACTTGCAAAAGGAGTTTTTAATAGAAAATGGTAGAGCCAAGCAAATCTTCATCTACTTTGGGAAAACTGGGTCAAAAAACATTAAGGAGATAATTATATAAATATTATATATTATTTAGCATATATAATATACTAGTACCTCACAATTGAGCTGGACCATAAAGAAGGCAGAATGCCAAAGAACTGATGCCTTTGAACTGTGGTGTTGGAGAAGACTCTTGAAAGTCCCTTGGACAGCACGGAACTCAAACCAGTCAGTTTTAAGGGAAATCAACCCTGAGTACTCATTGGAAGGACTGATGCTGAAGCTCCAGTATTTTGGTCATCTGATGTGAACACCTGACTCATTGGAAGAGTCCCTGATGCTGGGAAAGATTGAGGCCAGAAGGAGAAAAGGGCATCAGAGGATGAGATGGCTGGATGGCATCACCAATGCAATGGGCATAAACTTGCACAAACTTCAGGAGATGGTGAGGGACAGGGAGGCCTGGTATGCTGCAGTCCATGGGGTCACAAAGAGTTGGACACGACTGGGTGACTGAACAACATATACTAGTATATATATTAGACTTTCCTGGTGGCGCAGACGGTAAAGAATCTGCCTGCAATGCAGGAGACCCAGGTTCGATCCCTGAGTCAAGAAGATCCCCTGGAGAAATATGTATATTACTTAGTAGATATATGTTTAGGAAATTATTTTAGAAAAGGATATGGCTCTTCTTTCTCACAAAGATTCTAATGTTCAGATGAGAACTGACTTTATAGCCTGGTCAGCAAATATCTACATGGCTCTTTTCTCAGGGATTTGATACAGGAGTGACGGGTTTACAGGGAAGGCACCTCTGGGCAGCAGCTTCTCCAGCACCTTTATACAGAGAGACTAAGACCACTGTGGAGTTGTAGCTCTGGTTTTTGCTTTGGTTTCTGGAGCCAGAGGGTTTGATCAAGTTGAGCATCCTGCCTGCACTGACCTGCCCTGGGGCTTGTGTGGTCCGTTGCTCAGTCATGTCCGACTCTTTGTGACCCCATGGACTGTTGCCTGCCAGGCTCCACTGTCCATGGGGTTTTTCAGGCAAGAATACTCCCCTCCTTACCTCATTTAAGTGTGTAGCAAATGTAATGAGTATCAAAGGGTCAGTTACTGATTGGGAAAAACAAAACTTGTAAATCTTTGGGTAATACTGTCACTGAGCTCTATCCTGTGTCCTTTGATACTGATTCACAGTCTCCTGGGGCTGTCCGGTCATTCTTCCTTTGTAAAACACTGGTTAGAAAAGAGGCCTCTAGGAGAGAGAGTACTATTCTTTTTTCTTTTTTAATGATTTCTCTGAGAATCCTGTCCCATCCCAAGTGATCCAGCACAAACTGTGGCGTGTTTTGCCCATAGATTCCTCTGTCTCCATTCCTGGCAGTGGGGCTGAACACAGAGGAAAAGAGTCCTGTGTGGGAAGTGAGTCCATCACTGTGCAGATAACCGCTGGGAGGGAAGGCCTCTCATGCTTCCATGAGGTTTATCAAACCCTTTCTAGCACGAGAGCAGGCAAAGAATTTTGTGCAGATGTGGAACATTCTCTGGGTACATTTTGAAAGGTGGGGCTATAGTGGGATCAGGTGTTGAGGGTCAATTTGTATAAATGGGGAGGGGGGGCAGTCATTGGGGTGGTGGGTCAACGGGCCCATCCATGGGTAAGTGAAGGCTTAAGGGTAGAAGACAGGGTTTCTAACATAGATTATCTGGCCCAGGATAGGGGCTGTGAACTTGTCTATAGCTCCAAAACAAAAAGGAAGAAGAGAGACTTTTGAGTCCAATGTGAGAATTTCATAATCATTCCTTTTTTCTGTTGTTGCTAATGTTTGCTTTTACATAACAACAAATCTGTTTGTGTCTGCAAAGGATCAGCAGTGGACCCTGCTTCTGGAGCAAAACTCAGACAAGGATTTACTAAATCTTCTAAAAAAGATTAACTCCTAGAGGCCAGGTAAGGAAAAAAAAATTTTTTTTAATGTCTATGTGTTGCCAATCATCTAATGGGCAAGACACAGTTAATGAGCCTTTAAGAGGATGAATCCATAGCAGGCCAAAGAGGAATTTGGGCAAATCCTGATTTAGGTTACTAAAATGTATGCTCTTGAAACTTACTCTTTTGTTAAACATATAATTTGAAATGACATTCAGTTTTTGCTTCTGAGATTTGACAGGAAGCAGGAATAATTTTTCATTTTGTTTCTTGGATTTAACAGGAAGGAGAAATGATTCTTCATTTTGACCAGGAAGGTTACTGCCCTGTCCCTTTTACTAAACAAAGACAGGTCCCTGAGGTTGACACTGAATAGACACTGCTATGAGGCTGGAGAATTTTTGATATTGTGAATTGTTAAAAACAATGAACAATTAAAAGAGGCCTGTATTAACATTCTCAATGTGGAAGCAACAAAGTTCCAAAGTCAGTGCCTTCTCTTTCTGCTTTCAGCCTGGCTCCCTAACCATCCTTGACCCTGGATGGTTGTACCCAGGAACTCCACCTAAGGTGAGGGAGTGGGAGGCATCTGTTTACATGCCTGCAATTTCTTTGGAGACTTCATGTAGAACAAGTAAAAACTACATTAAAATTTTATCTACTCCCTTCAAATTTTTCCCCTCAAATCATTAAACTACGCATCAACCCGTATGATAACTCTTGATTTAAAGATTCGCTTGAAGCTTTTTTCCTCTGTGCTATACAATCGGTTCTCATTAGTTATCTGTTTTACACATACCTGATTAGTGGCTCAGTCGCGTCTGACCCTTTGGACTGTAGCCTGCCAGACTCCTCTCTCCGTGGGATTCTCCAGGCAAGAATACTGGAGTGGGTTGCCATTTCCTCTTCCAGGGGATCTTCCCCACCCAGGGATTGAACCTGTGTCTCCTGCACTGTAGTGGATTCTTTCCCAGCTGAGTCACCGGGGAAGCCCATTTTATGCGCAGTAGTGTGATGTCAATCCCAGTCTCCCAGTTCATCCCATCCCACCATCCCCCTTCCCCCGCTTGGTGTCCACACATTTGTTCTCTATGTCTGTGTCCCTATTTCTGCTTTGCAAATAGGCTCATCTGTACCATTTTTCAAGATTCCATATATATGTGTTAAGAAACTTTTTTAAGTGGACACTTTTTAGTCTTTTTAAAGAAAATGTTGCTTTGATATTAGAAACTTTTGGTAAAACAGTCTTTATTACTTCCTAGGAAAATCTTTACCTAGTTTATTCTACATAATAGACATGAAATCTCAGCTTGGATAAACTTTGATGTTTGCTTCTAATGAACATTAAACTGTCATTAGTAGATACTCCTATTTTAAATGTCCATCTGTATGCCGTTTAGAATTGCCTCAAATACACCAGTGTTTTGGGGGAACACTACAGTGAAAGGAACAGGTTACAATAACCTTTCCACCCTGTAGAAAGGATCCTCTAAGTGAACTCAGGCCATCTACTTATCCTGGCCAACTTGGAAGTCAACTGTTCAGTACACTTTCAGTTCATGTAGCTCTGTTGGGAGGTGGTGTCTCAACTATTTTTTTCTCTTGATCATCCTAAGGGTTGGTAAACTTTTTTTGTAGTTATTTATACTTAATTTATGCTTTTTAATCAGAGAATTTTTATTAAGGTCAGGGAACTTTATTTAGGAATAAGTCATTTTTTTCTAAATAAGAGTACCAGCCTCGAGGTACAGCAAACACAACATCTGAAAGTATTACAATCTGTATTTTGGGGACCAATTGCTGTGTTTTACGCTTAGGTAAATCAGGTATGTGTTCTGGAACTGACTGAAGACATGTAAAAGTGTTTGTGGAAGCTTCTATAAATGGAAAATGGAAGCTTTAGCCAGAGTGAGCTGCCTCTCTGCCCCTCTCCACTTGCTCTGGGAGACTGCCTTCCCTCAGCGAGAGGTTAAGAGTGGACATAGGAACTTAGACATCCCAGAGCGGTGGAGTCTTACTGACCAGGTAACCTGTGTTCCGTTGTATCATTTCTTTGATGGTCACCAGCTCACTCCAAAGGACTGTGTTGAACCATGGTTTCTCACATGTGGCTAATATGCTGCTTTAATGAGACAAATGAACTCAAGGTTCCCCTTTCTCTACCCACCCCCACCCTATTTAGAGGTCGAACAAGCAAAACTAAACAGTATTATGGGCCATAATACTTTTTGAAGACATCCCAATAAGAAATAATTTATAATTTGTACTGGAAACTAATGGTAAACACCACTGTAAAACTGGATCATGGTAGCCCAGAAAAAACTTCAGAAGCTAGTATTCTGACCTATACATCAGAAATAAATTACACAGCATTCTGGAAGAATTCACAATGTCATACAGTGAGTTCAGAAATAAGTTCTTTGCGCTGTGAATTTAATGAAGCATACAAGCGTCAACCTTAAAATTATTGTTTTAAAAAGATAAGTTTCTAATCGATGCTGAATAGAGGTCAGAATAGTTGTTTCTGTAGGGGATGTGATGACCCAGAGGGGGCATGACAGAGCAGCTGAGGAGCTGGAAATGTTTTCTGTCTGTGTGGAGAGTGGGGGTGTGGTTGTATCTAAAAATGAATCAAGCCATTTGCTCAATTTGTACTTTATTTATTATATGTAAGATACATCTTCATATTGAAAGCCTCTAAACACAAAAGACAGAGGAGCTTTAAAAAAAGAAGGTTAGGTTTTATAGTTCAAAAACTCATTAGATACCAAATTCCATAGATAGATTATAGTTACATTGTAAAATGTTATATTTCTTGAATAAAACTAATATTGACTTAAATGATGAATTTTAAAATGCATTTACTTATTGGTGATTAAAAATACTTAAGCAGAGTAGTATTTTAAGCCATACAGAGCAGAGCAAAAGAAATTCTTGCTTAATAGATATATATATATACTTTAAAATTCCAGTAATATTCTTAAATTCCTGTTAAAAATATAATCAATATTAAAGTCAGTAAAATGCTTATTTTGACTGACGCCTGGATTATTTTACCACTTAACCTGGTTACACAGTGATTTTTTTTTTCTGTCAGATATAACTGACAGTTTAGTCTTTAAGATAAATGAAGTGATAACTCACATTGTAGCATCCTGTGGAAAATATTCAAACTACATTTAAATGCTTTAAAATGAAGACATCTATTATTCCACAAGAAATTGTTTCTGTAAAACTACAGGTTGGCTATGGCAATAGTAACTAAACTACATCCAACCCTGAAGGTAGAAAATTCCCTGAAAAGAAATACACAGCCTAGTGATAATATGCGATATAAAGATTACTTTCTTATTTTAAAAATCCTCCCATTTTGGAGAAATCCAAACCTTTCCATAGTTCCCTTCCTAGGCAGTGCCACATAAAGTTATTTAGCTAACATTATTATGATCATGGCTTACGATTAAGTTGACAAACACCAATATATAGCTACACCAATATATAGCAGCCCTCGTATAGATGTTGGTTATGATAATAGTTGCAGTTCCATTGAAGAATATTTGCTTATTAAACTTGGTACAAAGCGTGAACACTCAGGACAGATTGGCACAATACATGCAGTTCGAGAACTCTCTTCTCTCAAGCCAGTCATCACTGAATAAGCCATATTCCAGTCCTGCTTCCTAAATCTTTCCTTGTATTATCATAGCTGATGATATTATCATAGCTGATATCAATGCTTCTCAAAATATCTTTCAGAGTAAGAAAAGTATGCTTTAAAAAAAAAACAAAAACCATTCATCTGAATGCATGGTGGAAATGAGGCAGGATAGCCGAACCAGTGCCAGCTGGGAAAACATGGGGGATGTGAGGGAGGGGGAGCTGGCCCAGGCTCATAGTGCTCATGGCAAGTGAGGGGTCTTGGGGCTGCTGCCCCAGACAGCTCAGCCTATGCGGCAGAGGTTCCCCAGCCCCCAGGGCAAGACCACTACTCCCAAAGGCATTCTGGGTAGCAGGCGGAGGCAGCTGCCAGAAGCCCAACAGAGGGGAGAGGTCGAGAGAGGCAGGCAACAGGTTCACAGCATCTGCGGCTATCTCTTTGGGCAGGTTTACTTTACCTGCACCTCCCTTAGCCAGGTCAAAACCTGCATTGAGCCTGTGAGGTGACTGAGGCTCTTGCAGAGGCAAATCCTCCAGCAAATTGGCACTGCAAAATCCTTTATTTTCTGTTTTGATGGGCAGGCCTGCAAGTGGGGGGTACGAGGTAGAACCGGTGTTGTACTTGGGGTTCTGGAGGGGTGCAGGGGGGGAGCTGGGGGTGGCCATGGGGTGGAGCGGGGCCAGGAGCTCTGACAGCACCGGTATAGGCTGGGCGGGCTGCTCCAAGGCATTGAGGGTGTGTACCTCAGCTGGCAGGCCGCCAGCAAGCCCATTCTGTGCAGGGGCCCCTATCGGAAAAGGAGACAGTGGGGCAGCCTTCAGTTGGAACTGGGGAGAGAGAGAGTGCAGAGTATTCAGAAGCTCTGCGGACTGCAGGCTCTCCTTCAGCAGCTCCTGCGGGTGGGTCTTCTTGGTGTGGCGCGTGAGGTGGTCTTTGCGCCCGAATCTCTGGGCGCAGAACTGGCACAGGAAGTCCTTGCAGCCCGTGTGGACCACCAGGTGGCGCCGCACATCCTTGCGGGTGTAGAAGCACCGCTCGCAGTGGTCGCACTGGTGCTTCTTCTCCTTGGTGCCCGTCGAGGGCTTCTCTTCGGCATGGGCTTTGAGGTGGTCGAGCAGCACCTCGGTGCTCGCCAGCTCCAGGGCACAGACCCCGCAGGTGAGGTCGCCACTGCTGGCCGCGTGGAGGGCCAGGTGCCTCTTGTAGCCCAGCATCGTGTGGTACTTCTTCCCACACTCCTCGCACCCAAAGGCCATTTTGTTGGGGTCGTGCGTCTGGAGGTGGTTCTTCAGGTGGTCCTTCCGGTTGAAAGTCTTCTCACAATAAGCACACTGGTGAGATTTATGGGGTGAATGTGTAGCCATATGCCTAGGGACAGAGGGAGAAAATTCACAAGAGACAACAGTTTTTTAAGAGCCAAAGAAACATATAGAAACAATATTAAAATGTTAGTAGTTTTCTCCAGGTGGTGGTATATACATTTTAGTTGTTAAAATACTTTTCTACATTTTCCAGATTTCTACACATAAACTTTATAATAAAAGAAAAACAAGTACTACGTGATGCGATGCGGCCGTCCCACCTGTAAAGAACATGCATTGAGAACATATTTCCTAATCTATACACAGATTTCTAAACACAAGTATATTCAAGTATTTTAAAATATAGGATCATGAAAAAATAGTTTTCAGGAAGGGGTTTAAATGACTATTCTATACTCTTAAAATTTCTGAATTTCCAAAAATGATCCAATTTGCCTTCTACATAGAACTCTACACCACCACCACCCCCCCCACCATTACTGTTTCTAGTACAATCTCTGCTTTATCTTGATAGAAAGTTCAGGCCTTAGACATTAATGCTAAAAAGACTATCCTTAACATCAGAGAAAGTGTCTATTACGAGTTATGGCCCCAGAATTGCAACCCCCCACCATGTGTCTTCTGAGCTTCACCCTCATGCCTCCCAGGAGAACGTTACAGTGAGGTCTTCGGTTGCTGCTGTTTAATACCTTCCCATGAGCTCTCATGTCAGATGCATGAACCCCCTGTCTCCATTTCTTTAAGATCCCTCTTAGACGCCTCCTGAACTCACTTCCTAAAGGTCACTGGTAATTTCACTGACAAAACTCAAGAGGACTTTCTCTAGAAGCACCAAGCTGCTGCCCGTGGACACGGAGAGAGACCCAGAGTCCGACTGCGGCACAAACAACACTGGGCAACAGGGGCCAGCACAACAGGCACTTGGGGTCTGAGGTGACGCTGGTCTCTGAGTCCCAGATGTGTTTAAATACATTCACAGGTTGCAGAAAGGGTTTCTGGAGCCGGCTAGAGGGCAAATAACAAACTTGGCATAAACAATTTTCTCTCTGGGCCAGCACTAGTGTTCAGGAACCTAAAGCTCTGTGATAGATCTTGCCTCTCTCTCCTTTTTCCTCTGTGGACTTTTATCTGATTAGATCTCATTTATCAGCCATGTGTAGATCAGTGCCACGTGAGCAGCTCTGGACCTGGTATTTCCTGTCCTGCTCCTGTCCTACCTATGAGAAAGGTTCAGGGGGACACAAGTCACACTTGAGCAGTAACACCACTTGTCACATCACATCCCATGAGCTTCCAACCCGTTTTGTTTGTTTACTTTTTCCTTTGCCTGGCATCCAGTTCTTCTCCATCTAATTGACTCCTCACTTGCTCACGCAACAATCCCAGTCTAGACCATGATCACCATAGAGCTAAAACGACTCCCACGTCTTGCTGCCCTCCCTAGCTTCTCTTCTCACCTTACAACCCAGGAAACCACCACTTTCGGTCTGTCCTGTAGTTTCCAAAAAAACACCATCTTCGGGTGTCACCTGGACCACGTCAGTGATCTTAGAATGCTTCCGGGGTTAACTGCTGACCCTGGGACTTCCGTCTGCCTTGCCAAATCCTCTGTTGCTGCCTTTGGCTGTCTTAACTGCTTTTGTCCTTCGCTATATTAGGTCCCATGTGCTCTTTTCCAGTTAAGCGAGTCAGTTACTTTCTTCTTCAACCTTTGCTTATGAAATGGAACTTTTATGTGGCAACTGAGACACAGGATGAAATGCTGCCCTTTTGAAAATAAATAAGGCATCCTGCCCTCTTCCCTCCCTTGCTTCAGGCCAGAGGGGCAAGACCTGCTGGTGGCTATGGCAGGGAAGGCCGTCCTTGCAGAGAGTACACTGCTTCCCTTTTTTGCCTCTCTTCACACCCTTAGCTGAACAAGTTGTCTCCCTTGCTCTGAACTACCAGCTCCTAAATATTGCTTAAGACATCTCCTTCAGTGCGGTTTACCACAGTAATCCCACCTAATTCCTGTCATTCCAGTAATCTGTCGGCGCCACTGTCTGTTCCAAATATTTATCTCCTATATGTATTTTGGTCTTTACCCACAGTTATAATATCCTCACTGTGGCTTAACTGCAGCTAACCCTGCCTTTGGTGTTTGGGTAAGGATAATTACTGTGTACACATAAGAAGCGTGCTGCAAAACAGGAAGCCTTTGCAACCAAACTGGTGCATACAGTAGGCACTCAATCCTTATATTTATGGCAACTAGAGATTGGCCGATGTACAGAACACATCTGAATTTTAAGCACTCGTAGGCTTATTTGAACAAATGAGCTTATCAATGATCTGTAACAGGGCTATTCATAGGGGCCAGGAACATAACTTATTTAACTCTCGCCAGTGCCTTCCTCCAGGAGCACTCCCAAATTTAATCATAAGGTGGTCTGTGCTCATAGCATATCAGATGGAAGTTGTCTCTCAGTTCTCACTCTCACTCATGCACTTATCCGCTGGTCTGACAGTTACAGTTCATCACATGAAGACTAGAGGCCAAAGACGCATTTCCCTCACCCCGGTATCCAGACAGGCATGCGTTCGTGGGAGCTCTGAGCGTATGCTGTACATAGCGCACGCACAGCATTCACTGTCAATCAGCCGACCGTGCGATGTACTCACTGAGAGTATATTTTGAGTACTGTCTTTCTATGATATAAAAGTCTTTTACAGGCAGAAACTACATCTCATATACCATTTCTCTCATGGAAGTAAGACGCTCAAGAAACAATTCAGACTAAATGTTACTGTTTTTAAGAAAGGACCTATCTCCGCAAAGTAGTTTTTACCCTTTGTTGAATCCCTCCCCTCCATCCTCACTGTCGGGGCCTGGAGAGGCTCTCCATATTTCATACCTGGACTGTTTGTACATCAGTACAGACAGATTGTACATCAGTCTACTTGTCTCTTCCCTCTTCTCCAAATTACTGCCAGAGCCATCTTTCTAACATCCTGATCAAATCATGTTGTTCAGTTCTTACACTCCTCAGAAGAAAACAAGCCTTTTAGGACAGTAGACACAGCCTGTTCTGAGCTGCTACCCTCTGGCCTCCAGTTTGAGCCTCACTCTGTTCCTCTTCCAGCGTGACCCTCTGTCCACATGTGCCTCCAGGCCAAGGCTCAGAGCTTCCCCAGAACCTCCTCTCTGCCCGCCTCCCATTCATTCTTCACATCACAGCTAAAGACTGTACCACTCTGACGAGCCTCCCCAGGTCTCACCCAGCAGTGGAGAACAACTTCCACCACTTCCACAGCTCTGTGACTAAAGCCTGTGGATGACATTTTAATGGTGTTCCCATGACTATCTCCCGGCCATAGGTCTTCTCATCTTTCTGTTCTTAGGCCTGGCTTATTGTAGGAACACAAGACATACTTGTTGAAAAAGTGAACTGAACACTGCAGAGCACAACTGTCGTATAAAAACTATAGTAATCACTGGAGATACAGCCTTAAAGGCTAAAGGGCATCCGCTTTCCCCTGCAGCGTTTGGTCTGAGGGCTAGCAAAGCCTTTGAAAGGTATGTGGAAAAGCACATACCTTTTCTGAAGCCTCTCACCTCATCAATTTATATCTGGAAATGAAGGCTTTGCCACAGTCTGGCTGCAAGCACTTGTAAGGTCGCTCCCTGGAGTGGGAATAACTGTGGATAGTGAACTTCTCCAGGGTGAGGAAGGTCTTGCCACATAACTGGCAGGGGTAGGTAGCCATGGGCTTTGTCTCTCACACTTTCTTTTTCAGATGCGCTGACCAAATGCTGTGCCATTTAATTGCAAATAGAAGGATAGGACTGTGCTGAGCACATCAGCAGAGCCCCAGCAGCCAACCGCCAGGCCCAGGGGCAGGCAGCGTTGTGGTCCCCGACCTGGATCTACCCAGACATGGGCCTCTCGGTTACCACTATCTCTGCTTCCTGCATCCTACATCCCAGTTTCCACGCGGTCTCAGGCTGAGAGGAGCAAGTCTGAGGCACAGATGATGTTCCCGAGCAGAAAGGCAGACTGCGTCACTAGAGCTGGGGCACGTCCTGGGTCACCAGACTGTGGAGAGAAGAGGAACAGTTTCTGCGCATTAGCCGTCGGCAAACCACGCTTCTCGTCCACCCGTTCAGCATCGACTACCTGGACTCAACGTGTTCCTTTAAATGGCTCTAATGTGGCACACCTCTCCATCTTCCCTGCGCTTTAAGAGGTCCTTCTGCATGTGGATGCTCCTGTCTGTGCTTCTTCACAGTGGCAGGAGTCAACTGCACAGGGTTCTGATGGCGGATGAAACACACTTTCCCTTGTGATAGAGACAGCTATTTCCACAGACTTGGTATCATCTACTTCAAGCCACGAGCTCAGGTCAGTGTGAAGTTCAGTCTGCCAATTCAAAGGGGAAAATAAAACACCCGCACACACCCCCAGTGTGCTTAAGTGTCTTATTGGTAGAGAAAAGAGAGGCATCCTCGCTCATTCAAACCATTGGCTAGTCCTCGTCACTCACTGCTGGCAGAACATAAGTTGTTTATCACACCTGTTTAAACTTCCAGGGGATGAGACGAAATCATTTGTATGTATCTAAGTTGATTTGTTTGTGAGGTTACTGTGCAGAAGGACTCAAGTCTACGGCATAAACAAAGTGGAAACAAAGCTAGTCTCGTTCACTGAGGTGTTGCCTTTGAAGGGGAGACGAGATTCACACACAGAGTGACGACGGCTGGGGCACAGGTCAGCACATTCTGGTATGCAGGCACCATCTTCCAGGAAACTGTCCACTCCTCTTTTCCCCTTTAGTCTGCGGGAACACTTCCTCATTCCCCAGCCCCACCCAGCGGGGGCAGGGGGAGGGGAGAGGGGAGCTACCTGCTGGAAGGCCACTCCTAGGAGATGGGCTTGCCGCCTTAGCCTGCCTCCAATCCCAGTTCTTACCATCCTTGCAACCCAGGCAGATCACCCAAGTCCAGGCTTTTCTTTTTCTGCCAACAGACCCATAACTTGGGAGCCTTAAGAGTCCAAAACAGCATCATGAACACAGCATCAACAACACAGGAAAAGCCTGGCTACCCAGAACCCATTCTAGTGAGAGAGAATTCTCACGCAACGGATGTTAACCTTTCAAGTGCCGATACTTTAAAAAAAAAAAAAAGAAAGCATGCTGTCTGCTTATATTAAACACATTGGAGTAACTTCTGCACACAGGCCAGCCTTCTCTGAACTTTGTCAAGTGAGCACGGCATGTGTGTGAACCTGATCGATCTCGGCAGGCCTTCGAGGCGTCTAGTCCCTGGATCGTTCATTTATTGCCAACTCTTTTAGAGATCTTTACTATTCAGTTAATTTTTACTTACCTCTGGAGTTATTTTCAGATGAGAAAGCTGGAGTCTAGCTAGATGAAGTTTTACTACAGTAATAGTTCAAGCATCTTTGTATCAGCACCTGGCACATGCACACAGACAAACACACATTCCTTTTTTAAGGGGTAAAAACTGCAGGAAACTTTTCATGTTCCTCATCAACTAGCTCAGATGTTTTTAGTGTCTGGTCAGAGTTCACAAGGAGCCGGCACCAGGCAGATACCCCTCGCTGTCCTGCCCCACCTGCTTGGAGGCTTCAGAGCTGACGTGTGCACTTTGACCTGAAGCTCCAAGCACTGGTCCAAAGCCGGGGACGCCGGCGTTCCCAGCCAGCATCTTGGCACCAAACCTCCTCTCTGACGGCAGCACACAGAGACCCCTCTGGGACCAAGCATGACTTGCACGAGCCCGTGCCGGCCCCGTCCAGCCCCCCGACTCCCCGTCCCCTCATCGTGTGCCAGGTCACCCCAGGGCCCCGGCCCCGTCCAGCCCCCCGGCTCCCCGTCCCCTCATCGTGTGCCAGGTCACCCCAGGGCCCAGCCTCGAGGCATCCCAAGCACCCTGGCCACAGACAAAGTAATTCCTTCCAGGAATCCTGTCCTGTGTGGCCGAGTTTCTGCTGCCAGGACTCATGGTGTGTCCTACTTTTCCATCCAGCCTGAGTCTGGCCATAACACTGGCCCATCCATAAAAGGCACAGAATTTATCATCATCATTAAATATACTCATTCACTTGAGATTGCTGTGTTTTCCAGGTCTATTTTAAGAGATTAAAATGTATACACAATATGAAGCTTGAAATTCTTTTTTTTTTTTTTCTTGTTCTCTTTATAGCTGAACTCAAAATAGCATTAGCCACTCAAGAGAAGGAGCTGGTCTGGTGGTGAGATTTTAAACATTTTCTCATCTACACCAATCCCCCTGCATATATACTCTAAATTGATTCTCCCCAACTCCTGCATTTATGAGAAATGACCAATGTCCAACAGAACTTTCTGTGATGGAAATGAATGGCTACTGAACATTCAAAATGTGATGCTGAGAAACTGACATTGTCATTTAAGTCGCCACACAAGGCGAGTGGCTCCTGTGCTGGAAAACACAGGAGCCACAAAAAGTGAAGGTAAGGCTAACGCTTTTCTCCAGACACAGCTACGCTCTGATCCACCCTCATGCATTTCCCTGAAGCACAGCAAGTGGATATCCAGCTCCAGTCATTTGTTTTATGAACATAGTAGACAGATTCCCTGGTTCAAATTCCAGCTCATCCATTTGTTAGCGCCTAAGTTTCAGTTTCCTCATTTGTAATATTTACTTGATGCATGTAAATGAGCCAGTGGGGACAACCAACTGAAACAAGATGAATCTTAAAAGCACTCTGTAATCTAAAAACACTCCATACAAATATATAGTAGTATTTATAAACACTGGGATTAAAAGTAGAAACCATCAGCTGCAAACTGGCACACAGTCTGAACCACTCAGCTATGGATGTAATGGAAAAGAGAAACACATTCTCTCCCAGCATATACTTTATCACCCGTTACTCAGAGATGGAGGAGCCAGGAGCCTGGATAATACACATGCTCCACACACACAGGACATACGAAGTTGCAAGTAAAAACTGGCCCGAGGTCTTTGTTTCTCAACAGATACCAACATTTGCTCACCAACACACCAAGAATACAAAGGAAAAATCAGATTTTTTCAATTAAAGGAAAAGTACCTGCCTGTTAGCATTGAATAAAGCTTCCCAAATCCACTTTCCAGTCACTTCCCTAAATTCAAAAGTCCAACAAGTTGTTGACATCACTACATTTCCCTCGGGCCTTCAAAGATGGTGGGTATACAATCAAGGCATTTTAGACATGACTATACTGAATTTAAATGTGAGACAGTTCCTCCAACTCTTTCCCCATTAAACTTGCAGAGAACAACAAAACATTAAGTCACGTAAACATTTTTACACTTATTTTACTTATTGCATTAATGTCTTTGCCCAAGACTTTTCTTTTTTAGTTTTAGGTCTCTGTGTTAAATACACCCAGTCCAATCCTACATGTAAAATTGGTCCTCACATGTTGAACTCAATTACTTTATGACAGTAAGCATTCCTTAGTTTCTTCAGGAAGGCTTTTTTTAAAATGATGTATTCAAATTAACTAGTAATTATAACATTTCATTCACTATAACTGTGTATTTCATTAATATGGATCTTCAAATATAAATATTTACATTGTTTTAATGATATAATCACAAACTTCTATAAACACAGCCTTTCCCAACAGATTATAAATTCATTGTGGCCGAGGATCAAAGCCCAGCTATTTTTAAAAAATAAGCTGTGTGGGTAATACAACATCTCCCATCACCATGTACTTGATCAGAACTGGCTGGCTGCTGCTGATTCCAATCTTTCCTTGAAACCTGATGAGCTCTGGCCACACCCTTAAAACAGACTTGTGATGAACTTTCTATTATTTGGCCAACTGCCAACAATCCTAAACAGAGAACTAACAAAGGGATGGTCCCGATGATCATCAGTCTGCCCTGTGACCTGACATACAGATTGCATTTGAGTCTTTAAATATGGTAATATTTCAGCACCTGTCACCCTGGAAAAGAGAGTAAGTCTTCCCCCAAAACATCTCAGGACATAATTTTCAATCCCCTTGATTCTAAAAATACTGAGTGAGTGATACAGATCTGCCCGTGTGCCAAAGAAGGCTTGTGCCATCTGCTTCATTCTGTTCGTGCTGATTATTTTGGGGATGAGAGAGGATCAGATTGGAATAAGAACATATATATATGGCAACAGCCAGGAAGGACTGTGTTCCCTGAGGGCTGGTGGTATACGGCGGTGGAGGGAGAGGTCAGAGCACAAGTGGAGTTCCAGGACGTCCCCAGTGCTGCGTAACACAATCAGCTAATGGGGGACAAATGTTTTACAACATTCTCAAAATAAACCATGACTTCTGGCTTCTATTTCCATTGTCCCCAGTGACACAATGCAAGGCCCATTTCTGGGAGGAAATTGAATTTCCATTTTTAGTCTTTCAACATGGGTACTCTTGTTTTTTTTTTACTCCATTCATCACCGCTCCTTGTGGATAAGAAGGTTCTGTTCTAAACATTTCTTTTCCTCTCATACTCCTGAAACCTAGGATGGCTTTTATAGAAATGTGTTAAGGTCAGTTTTAAAAGTTCAGTTTCTTCTTATACTCACACAATATGAAACAGCCAACCATGGAGCAGGGCAGGTGGAAACTCCCTGTTTATCTGGCTCCAGGAGGCTTCTAGAGAGGTGCTCCCCTCCATATTTGAAGGACTCTAGCAAGGACTAGAAGGACTAGTAAGCAAGGACCACTAGTAG